TTCTAACCCAAATTACATACAGATGCATTTTAAGGTTCCTTCTTGTCTAATTTCGTCCTCTCTAACATGTGCCCAGTTCTGGGCACCACAGTTCAAGAAGGACACTGACAAACTGGAACGTGTCCAGAGGAGGGCAACCAAAATGGTCAAAGGCCTGGAAACGATGCCTTATGAGGAACGGCTAAGGGAGCTGGGCATGTTTAGCCTGGAGAAGAGGAGGGTAAGGGGTGATATGATAGCCATGTTCAAATATATAAAAGGATGTCACATAGAGGAGGGAGAAAGGTTGTTTTCTGCTGCTCCAGAGAAGCGGACACGGAGCAATGGATCCAAACTACAAGAAAGAAGATTCCACCTAAACATTAGGAAGAACTTCCTGACAGTAAGAGCTGTTCGACAGTGGAATTTGCTGCCAAGGAGTGTGGTGGAGTCTCCTTCTTTGGAGGTCTTTAAGCAGAGGCTTGACAACCATATGTCAGGAGTGCTCTGATGGTGTTTCCTGCTTCGCAGGGCGTTGGACTCGATGGCCCTTGTGGTCTATTCCAACTCTATGATTCTATGATTTTATGTTCTATGTTTGCTTAATACAGTCTGCTGTTTTCTTACACTGCTGTGGTCCTCAGATATGGGAAATAGCCTTTTTTATATAGACTAGAGAGGGTTTCCAGTCTTCCTGAAAAGATTCTAAATTTGTCTCTTTTATCGGTGCTTTAAATTCTGCCACCTCTGCATATTCCAAGATTTTCATCAACCGTTGTCCCTTTGAAGATTCTCTCCCCTCCTTCGATTTCTATGCACAGAGAATCCTTGCTGCTGTAGCCACATACATAAATGCTGTTGAAGCTTCCTTTGGGATTGCGCCGACTGGATGAGGCCAGTCCGGTTCACTCACGGGGTACCCTCCCCCCACCCCTCCCTCCCCCCAAACCCACTTTGCACCCCTCTATGGCCTTTCAAGCATTGCACATTCTTTGGCGAGACTTAACAGGCCTGGACAATCTGAGCTAATCGAATTCCCACACTAGCAGGAATCTAAAACTAACATCCCTTCCCCAGAATGAGGTAATGTCACTTGAATCAACAAACTGAGAACCAAAAACATGCTGAATCAGAGAGAGAGAGAGAGATATTAGGGTGGGGTGGAAGGAAGAAAAACCCCTACACTGACCCCCAAACGGTCAGACGTCAAACCCTGAGCATGTTGGAGTTATAGCAGGAATTTGGTTCCTGGTTTTTCGGACCGGGTTGGTACATTATAGGCTCAGGAGACAACTCTCCCCCAGCATGAAAGATTGAATCCTACAGTCATATCTCATGTTACGTTTGCTTCATGTTACGTTTTTTCAGCTTGTGTCTCGCGGCAACCCGGAAGTACTGGAAAGGGTTACTTCCGGGTTTCGCCGCTTGTGCATGCACAGTAGTGCTAAATTGTGCTTTGCGCATGTGCACAAACGCCAAATTGCACCACACACCTGCGCAGATACGGCGCTTCAGGTTGCGGGCTTTTCACGTTGCGAACGGGCCTCCGGAACGGATCCTGTTCACAACCTGAGGTACCACTGTAATCTGCGATTCCGACAAGTTTAAGGCTGGGACTAAGCAGCCTTTAGCTCGGCTAAAGTCACACTTGAGGTACAATGGCAAATTGGCATAAGGGACATTTGGTGATAAGACGGGGTGAGCTCCCATTGCCCAGTCCCTGCTCCTGCCAACCTAGCAGTTCGAAAGCACATCAAAGTGCAAGTAGATAAATAGGTACCACTCCGGCGGGAAGATAAACGGCGTCTCCGTGTGCTGCTCTGGTTCGCCAGAAGCGGCTTAGTCATGCTGGCCACATGACCCGGAAGCTGTACGCCGGCTCCCTCGGCCAGTAAAGCGAGATGAGCGCCGCAACCCCAGAGTTGGTCACGACTGGACCTAATGGTCAGGGGTCCCTTTACCTTTACCTCAAATGGGAGCTGTTGGTTGGGCATATATGGGGCAAGGCGATACCTCAAGTAAACTGCGCCCAAGCCATTAAGGACTTTATATACCAATAGCAACCCTGGAAAAGACCCTGATGTTGGGAAAGATGGAGGGCAGAAGGAGAAGGAGACGGCAGAGGACGAGGTGGTTGGACAGTGTTCTCGAAGCTACCAGCATGAGTTTGACCAAACTGCGGGACGCAGTGGTGGATAGGAGTGCCTGGTGTGCTTTGGTCCATGGGGTCACGAAGAGTCGGACACGACTAAACGACTAAACAACAAAGCAACCCTATGCATGTACTAGGAGCAGGAATGTTGCAAACCCATTGGCAACAAGTGTTGAAAACTACCCCAAATGGAAGGTCTGTTTGTGAGCCTCGTGAAGAGGAACTTGGAATGAGGCAAATGGGTCATCTGAGCTCTCGAGGAATGTGTTAGGAAAGACCCAAATCCGGGTTTGGCTTTCTTCGCTGATCCATCCACCGAAATTGCTTCCCACTGATCTACATGATCTGCTGCTGCTTTCAATGTGGGGCGGAACGCCTCAGATAGGACTTGGGGGAAGGGAGGAAAACTGGCTCTGTTTGCATTTTGCTGTGAACCCAATTTGCCCTTCCTGGAACAACACAGGGGCTGAAATGCAACTATCCTTCAAAACGAACACTTTACCGAATTTTTGCAATGCGCATGTCCAACCACATTTCAAGAGGAAGTGCGCATAAAGGTAAAGGTAAAGGGACCCCTGACCATTAGGTCCAGTCGTGACCGACTCTGGGGTTGCGGCGCTCATCTCGCTTTATTGGCCGGGTCATGTGGCCAGCATGACTAAGCCGCTTCTGGCGAACCAGAGCAGCACATGGAAACGCCATTTACCTTCCTGCTGGAGCGGTACCTATTTATCTACTTGCACTTCGTGCTTTCTAACTGCTAGGTTGGCAGGGGCAGGGACCAAGCAATGGGAGCTCACCCCGTCACGGGGATTCAAACCGCTGACCTTCTGATCTGCAAGTCCTAGGCTCTGTGGTTTAACCCACAGCGCCACCCGCGTCCCCTCAGATTAATGAAAATAACAAAAATAGATTGTTGAAAATAAAAAAAATGCATATTGCAAGCCAACGTGCACAGACAAATGTTTATGTGAGGGGAAATGCACACTGAGGCATTTTTTTTTTTAAAAAAAGACAAAACACATTGCAAAACTGACACCTATATGTGGAAGACTAAAATTAAGACTGGAGAAACCAAGAAACTGAGAGGAATTGACATGTTTGTCTACTCCAAGCGTCAGAGGGTCTTGTTATCTGTTGAGAACCACCTGGGACCAAGGAGGGTTATTCTATTCATTTCTCCTCCTGAGAGGGAAATTCTGCTCCTAAGAGAGGCCTGACGGAAGACACCCATTATTTCACAGCTGCATCTTGCCCTGCAGGGGAGCGAAGGAAGGTGAGGGAAAGGAAATTGCTATTGTGATTGTGGGAATGCCCCCAGAACACCCCAAATAACTGTGGGGTTAGACAGTTCTGGAGGATTTCACGAGGGTCTCTTTCAAAACGCAATTGGCTCTTGTCGTTAGCGATTATTTCCGACAACGGTTATGTCCCTGCGAAAATCAGACCTGCAGACTTCCTGACTTGGCTGCCGGAAAAGATGATATCACAGCTGCCATAATGAGCTGAAAGACACTCGATTCACACGCTTGCAACTCAACTCACAAGGGACAGGGGCAGGAGGGAGGGTACTGGAAACTGGGGCCCCCCATGACTGTAGTTAACCCGCTGTCTATTTTTAGCTGAATTGTAGGACTAACTTGCTGGGCGTTGAATCAAGCACTTTGCAGAGTGCACCCTGCAAATATTAAGTCTTAAAAATCCCAGCTGGATGGGTTTTTTTAGTGGATGCTGACAATTCAGAGCTTGTTCTGGCGGCTTTCAAACCACCCATTTCAAGTTAAAATGTGAATCCATTCCCATATGCAAATACAATGGCTCAGATGGGTACCTGGCCGCTGCAACCACACCCAGTTGGATTGCTGCAATTGTGTGGCATGCGGGGCAATCCTTGAAGAGTGTCTGGAATCTGCAGAATGCCACGAGCAGTTTGCTATCTGGAGCGGCGAGGAGGTGGGATCTCGCTAATTCAAGGTGCTGGTACTAGCATGGACAGCTTGGGACCAACTAGCCTGAGTGTTAAAATCCACTCAGGAGGTTTCACTGGTGTCCAGGCATAATCAGTAAGCTTTGTGTATTGATTTCCATATTAGCTGAACTTTTAAAGATCACTTGAAATAATATGCATAAGGTTTTAAAACTGGATAGTTAAGAGGGTAAGATTCTGTGGACATGTATAAATAAGTAAAAAAAAATTGGAACCAGGAGGAGGAGTTGGAGGGAAGTCAATTAAGATGTATGATTTTGATTGTGATGTTCTTTGGGGTTTTTTTATGGTATTTTTGTTATCATAAAATTAATAAATTGTATCCAAAAGAGAGAGAAAAAGTTGCTTTTTCCAGGGTAGTGGAGATGGCAAAGAAGGGAATCGTGGCCAGATGGTGGCAGCAGTGAGTAAAGTATGAGGCCAACCGGGGAGCTATCACTGTCTAACAATTTCCAGAAACTGAACGCTGACCATTGTTTAAACTTGAGGTTCTGCAGAAAACGATCCAAAAGGGAAAGCACTGTTATGTACTGAAGTTCTCACCCTGGGCCAGCAGGGGGATACTGTAGATAGTTATGCAAATGAAGGATCGAAAGTGACGTTCAGTGATTGGATAGTTACAGAATATGGTTACTGTTGCGTTCTAGTGGAGCTCTATATAAGCAGGCTGGCTGAGCTCCTCAGTTCAGTTCTGTTCCAGCTTACAAATAAAGAGCTGCTTTGGAAGAATCGCTGTGTCGTCTGATATGTTCGCCCACAACTTAACACGCACTATTTATCTCCCCAGGATAAATAGTGCTTTTTTTCCTCCCAAGGAGAGGAGCTCCATAAAATTCTAATCATATGAGACCACCAAAAAGAGACTCCTTGGGAGGTACTTACACATGGCGTGGATTGGTTCAAGGTCAAAATGATTGCCTGGTCTTCTGGTGGCACCGCTTTTTCACAAACAATCTAGGGAAAAAACAGACAACAAAAAGGCTGAACGAATTCCCATGGAATGGGGGGGGGGGAGAGAAACAGCATCTCTAGCGAAAACAAAGGCTGTCCGCAAACCTCTGGCCTCACCCTCGTTCGGCTCTGCAGGGAAATAATGCAGGTGGAACCCAGAAAGAAAAGTCCTGAGAGCACTATACTGAGCAAGCGGAACAAAAACGGTGTATAATTTGAAGGGGAAAAGGTTTCACCTGTCTTCCTCCCGGCCTTGTACATAGCAGGGAGACCTTCAACCAAAGCACACAGGGGAAAAACTCCCTCAAAAGGAAGCAGAAAGTTAAAGGATCTACTGCTTTGGGCTGAGCCCTGGGTACCTTGGTCTGGGCTACGAAAGAAGTATCGGGAAACGCAACGGGGGGCTGCGGAGAGGCTGAGGGGGTCTTCCTTGTGACTGAAGTCCCAGAACTTGAACTGGGCGGTGGTGGAGCCGCTCCCGCCGTATGTGTGGCTGTGCTACCCGCCGTCCCCCCAAGTTCTTTCGTTGTCGCCGTTCTCGTTGTTGACTCGGCTTTCTTTGGCTTCTCTGTGGGCGTTGCAGCAGGGACGACGGCCTTGGTTGTAGATTTCTCTGTTGTAGAAGCAACAGTGGTGACGCTTCCTGAACCTGGCGTGGTGCCTGGGCTCTTCCCTGTTTAAAAAGAAAAAAGCCGGGGTGAGGAAAACCAGCACTCCCTCCTAATTATTATTATCAGCTAATTGAATTTTGAATTTTGAATTTTACTGTTATTCATGTTTTTATACTGTATTGTATGCTGCTTTTATAATTCAGTGTTTTAAAGTGTTTTAAATTTGTTGTTAGCTGCCCTGAGCCCGGTTTTTGAACCAGGAAGGGCGGGGTATAAATAAATTATTATTATTATTATTATTATTATTATTATTATTATTATTATTAGCAAAACCACGACTTCCATGGTCAGTTTTTCTTTTTCACCCGAGAACGAGGCAGGGATTTTTCTGAATAAAGCAGTCTGGGCTCACAGCCACCTTTCACACTGGCGTCTCTTCCGCTGCACCTGTTGAACTCTCAACCTGATGGGAGGGCGTTCCACAGGGCGGGTGCCACTACCGAGAAGGCCCTCTTTTGACGAAGGGTGGTATATAAATTTAACTAATAAATAACAACAACAACCACTGCTGCCAGCCAGTGTGGACAGCACTAGACTAGATGGGCCAAAGATCTGAGTACAGTACCTGGAGTGACAACAGCTGCTGAACTGCCTGGCTTCAGAGTCGGGGCACTTGTCGTCACAACGCCAGAGTGTGGCGTCGAGGCCACTGCTTTTGGCCCAACGCCTGTCAAGGACGTCGTCGTCTCTTGGGGGGCCGCAGATGTAGTTTTGGTCGACGCCGCTACAGTTGCAGAGGGTGGTTTGGGGGTGGTTACAGCCACTGATGTAGCTATGGCGACAGGAGACCCCTTGACTCCACTTGAAGTTGTGTCTGTGGGTTTATTAATGGTCCCTGCAGTCGTACTCAGTGGGGGGCTTCCTGCAGTTGTCGAGACACTGCTTTTGGCTGTAGTAGCAGAGACGGTGGTCTTCAGGATCGGCACATTTGCTGGTGGAGGAGCGGTACTTCCGGGGGTTAAGGTGGTGGACTTAGCACTGCTTGTGGGCGTCGCCGACGTGCCACTCATGGTTCCAGCTGTGGTAGTTCCTAAAATGACCCCGAGAGTTAGGCATGTTTTGGAAACGGTTAACTTGCTCTCTTTCTCCCCTCGCTACAACCGTCTGAAGGACATAATCATTGCTAACATCGTTTACTAAAAAAAAATTCCTTCCAGTAGCACCTTAAAGACCAACTAAGTTAGTTCTTGGTATGAGCTTTCGTGTGCATGCACACTTCTTCAGATACACAGTGTGCATGCACACGAAAGCTCATACCAAGAACTAACTTAGTTGGTCTTTAAGGTGCTACTGGAAGGAATTTTTTTTGTTTTGACTATGGCAGACCAACACGGCTACCTATCTGTAATCGTTTACTAAGCAGAGGATAGGTGGGCCTCTGCCATGGATACTTCAGTCGAGATTCCTGCAGAAGATCCTTGCAGGATCAGGCCAATGCCCATCTAGATCCTGGTTCCACAGCGGCCAACCAGGCATCCCTGCGAGCAGGACCTGAGCACAACAGATCTCTCTTGGCGTGCGCTTCCCAGAAACTGGTATAAACAATTGGCTTACATGCTGCCAGCTAGCCTGGGATAACCGTTGCTCCCAAGCTCTGATTGGTTCATCTATTCAACATGTGAGCTAGAGGCTGAAACAACAAGCTATGAGCTTGCACAGTCAGTGCAAGGAGAATCGTAAAGCTTTTTTTCTGTCTGAGGGCCACATGGACAAGCACCCAAGGGCAACACATGCCACAGGTGGGTAGGGCCAGAGGGGGGGGGAATGGGTGGAGCAATGGATGCAAATACTGCATACACACTCTTTATCCTCCATCCAGCCAAGCAAGGAACACGTTCAAGGGCATATTCCAGTCAGGCAAAAAGCATTTGGGGTGCAAAGGAGGGTCAATGGGGGGCCAGTTAGACAGGCTGGGAGGATCAAATCTGGCCCCTGGGCTTCAGTTTCCCGAGCTTTGTGCTTGCACTTTGAATTTGATCCTGGCCTACGAGAGACACAGATCTCCTCTAGTTCAGATTGAGAAGCTGAACTGTTGGTTGCGAGTCAGGATAGAGCAGTTATACCTAGAGGCAAGCTTTCACTATTGGTTTCTTTGTTTATTTTATTAGAACAATCTTATTCATAAAGAAATAAGTGATAAAGGAAAAACAAATTCTGAAAAAGAAAGGGGCAAAAGTGACACAGTAGGTAAAATCTATACATTTCCGTACCCTGTCCTATAAAGGAAAATAACGTTATACAGTGGTGCCCCGCAAGACGAATGCCTCGCAAGACGAAAAACCCGCTAGACGAAAGGGTTTTCCGTTTTTCGATGCGCTTAGCAAGACGATTTTTCCTATGGGCTTGCTTCGCAAGACGGAAATGTCTTGCGAGTCTTGCGATTTTTTCCGCTCCCCCCCTTTTTCTAAGCTGCTAAGCCGCTAATAGCCTTTTAGCCGCTAAGCCTTTAATAGCCGCTAAGCCGCTAATAGCGCTAATCCGCTAATAGGGTTGCTTCGCAAGACGAAAAAACTGCTAGACGAAGAGTCTCGCGGAACGGATTATTTTCGTCTTGCGAGGCACCACTGTATTCCTGATACAACTCTGGTTATTCATAACGTATTACATTCTGTATAAACTCATTCCAAATACAGTGGTACCTCGGGTTACATACGCTTCAGGTTACATACGCTTCAGGTTACAGACTCCGCTAACCCAGAAATAGTACCTCGGGTTAAGAACTTTGCTTCAGGATAAGAACAGAAATTGTGTTCTGGCGGCGCGGAGGCAGCGGGAGGCCCCATTAGCGAAAGTGGTGCTTCAGGTTAAGAACAGTTTCAGGTTAATAACAGACCTCCGGAACGAATTAAGTACTTAACCTGAGGTACCACTGTATTATAAATATTTCTATTTAAGGCCATATTGGAGCAGAACACCAAAGGCTTAAAAACAGAACAAAAACAAACGCAAGAAAGGAAAAAGACTCGTCTCATTCCTTCCGTCCCTCCTCCACCTTCATCTGAGCCATTTAGGGGGTCCTCTTGCATCGCGTTCCTGATTCTTGTTTTGGGGCCATTTCCTATCTGGGCCATTTCCTTCTACATCCAGCCACCTTTGGTGACACGGCGCTTAAGGCTGGCTCAGAGTCTATTAATAGCAGGAAAGGGAAATGCAAAAGAATAACTTCGGGAGGAGCAGGAGGGGGACACACCCTGCCCAGCCCGTCCTGAGCCTGCTTGCGCCAACGTCAGTGGCATGGAGCCATAGAGGTGGTGGGATGCGAGGCAGAGCTGTCTGAGGAACCACTGACTCTCCTGAGTGTGGGGACTGCAAGCCGGGCTTTGGGAAATCCCTTTCCCCCCTCTGCAGCCTTTTCCGATTAAGCGGGAACAAGGGGTTAAAGGAATCAAAGGCTTCTTTGCAGACTCTCTCAAGGGCAGCTGAGCTTTGAGGGAGACTGTGAAGAAGAGAAGGTCCAGAGTTGTATTTCTCTACTCCCTGGATTTTTTAAAAAATTGTTTGCCGTAAGCAAGGGAAGCAATGAATCTCACCAAAATCAAAATCCGGTCAGAAGCAGAACTTTCCTGCTGTTGCAAACAAACCCCCAAGTTGTCTGAAGATGCCTAGTTTGCTCAGCACAAATTGCCTACGTAAAAATGCATCGTTTGAAGGGATATTGCGTTGCAAAAATGTATGCGCTTGCGAAAACTGCAGGGAGAAATGGGCGTCTTAGGAGAATTTTGCACTAAAACGGTGATGACTTTTCAGGAGGACTTTAAAACGGCAAATAAACCACAAACCGACATGCAAATGTTTGAGACTGGATCTAAGGTCGGAAAAACGGGAAACCGAAATTAAGATATAAGGTATAAATGCAATATATAACCAACAGAAAGCAAAAATTATTATTAATGGAGAGTTTGGAGAAGAAATCAACATCTTTAAAGGTACAAGACAAGGATGCCCCCTATCCCCAATGTTATTTATAATAGTATTAGAGGTTCTATTAAAGGCAGGACAACCAAATAAGAGGAATAGCAGTTGGTGAAAAAAGATATAAGTTAAGAGCCTTTGCAGATGATGTTATGATCACAACAGAAAATCCCCTACAATGTACACCTAGAATATTGGAATGCATAAACGAATATGGTAGATTAGCAGGATTCAAATTAAACTATGGAAAAACCAAAATACTAGTGAAAAATATGGAAGAAAAAGATAAAGTGAAATTACAAGAAATTACAGGATTGGAAATTAAAAAGAAAATAAGGTATCTTGGAATAAATTTAACAACAAACACTATAGATTTAAGTAATGAGAACTATGGGAAAACATGGAATGAAATAAAAAATGACTTGCAAGTATGGGGAAAATTAAATCTTTCCTTACTAGGGAAAATATCGGTAATAAAGATGAACATATTACCAAGGATGATGTTTTTATTTCAAAGTATCCCAATACTAGGAGGAGATAAATGTTTTAATAACTGGAAAAGAGATTTGGCTAAATTCATATGGTCAGGGAAAAAGCCAAGAATAAAACACAAAATAATGATAGATAAGAAGGAGAGAGGAGGATTTGGTCTCCCAGATATGGAGTTATATCACGATGCGGTGGGTCTGACCTGGCTAAAGGAATGGATCAAATTAGATGACTCGGATGTATTGGATTTAGAAGGAGTAGAGACGAGATTTGGATGGCATGCCTATTTAATAGATGAAAAAGTGAGAGTACATAAAGGCTTCCTAGGGCATATAATCAGAAAATCTATATATAAAATATGGGAGAAATATAAAAGACTCCTAGAACCGAAAACTCCCTGGTGGGCATCGCCAGCAGAAATTGTCGCAGTGAAAAAATTAAATATGAAAGAAAATTGGGCTTCCTATAAAACTGTATTAAAGGAAGAAAACGGAGAATTGGAATTAAAGGATTATACAGAAATTAAAGCTCATATTAGTGATTGGTTCCAATATATTCAAATTAAGTATAGATTAGCAAAAGACAAAAAGTCAGGATTTGAAAAGGAAATATCAAAATTCGATAAATACTTAATACAAGAAAAATAAAAAAATATATCTAAATTGTATGATCTGATTTTAGAGTGGGAAACAAAGGATGAATTAGTTAAAGCATCAATGATCAAATGGGCGCAAGATATTGGGAAAAATATTATGTTTGAACAATGGGAAAAATTGTGGAAAGAAGATATGAAATTTACTATGTGTTATATACTGAAAGAAAATTACCTTAAAATGCAACATAGATGGTATTTAACACCTGAAAGAATAGCAAAAATGAATAAAAACTGTAGCGATGTCTGCTGGCGATGCAACATGGGAAAAGGTACTATGATACATATATGGTGGAATTGTTTAAACATCAAACAATTTTGGGAAATAATATATAATGAGATGAAAAAAATGTTTAGATACTCATTTAGGAAAACACCAGAAGGTTTTCTATTGGGAATAGTACCAGGAAGCCTAAAGGAAGAAGATAAGACCTTATACTTATATGCAACAGTAGCAGCAAGGCTATTGATTGTGAAAAACTGGAAAAGTGGTATAATACCGACAAAAACAGAGTGGCTTGCCAAATTATTGGAGTATTACAATATATCCAAAACAATGGAAGAAATTGGAAGGATTTCAAAAGAAAAGAGAGATAGGGACTGGAAGGTGTTTAAAAGATACTTGCAAAATCATATCGAAAAATCAGAACTCCTATTAGAATAAACAAGTTCCGTTTCAAATATTGAAATATCAAATAAGATGGATGACAATGTGTAATAGATAAAGAAGTATGAAATCAGGCTAAAGGTGTGTGAAAGAAAGTAATAGAAGTGGAAAGAAATTGTAATTGAGTAGATTGGAAGTCAAACACAAAGGTGGGGTGAGGGGTGGTGGATGGTGATGGGGAAAGGAACTATTTGTGGGATTGAATGTAAGTATGTTTGAACACTTTTAAGGATTGTATGAAATGTATGTTTGTATGCTTGTATATGTGTATTAATGATGAACCATTTTAACAATAAAAACTTAATAATAA